AATTTTTGATTTATTGTAGAGACAAGGTCTCACCAAGTTGTCCAGGCTGGTCTTGAACCCGCAGGCTCAAGCAATCCACTCGCCTCGGCCTTGGAATATTCTCTGCATCTCCCCGGTCCCTGGCTGGGTGAAGACAGACATGGGGCACCAAGGTGAGGGCTGGGATCTGGAAGGCACCACCCTGCTCACTTGTGATCAAGTCCACTGAGGGAAGCTGTGCAGCTGGCATGAAACGCAGTGTCACATGTTTGTAAATTCTTCCTGCGTGGGAAGCTCGATCAGGCCTCTGGGAGCATCACCTGTGACCTCAGTGACAGAGCTTTCTGTCCTCACACCGGCCTATCCTCCCTCCTCCCCGCCCCTCATCAGTTGACCAGCTGGGGGCCCAGGGGTGATGCCGCCTGGCTGCTTCCTTCTAAATCTCCCCGGAAGACCCTCCCCTGAGGCGGGCCTCTAAGCAGGTCAGTGGGGCCCCTGGAAGCCCTCCACATCCGTCTCCTACCAGGCGTCCCCGAGGTCTATTCTGGGTATCTCCATCCTGGCCAAACTGCGAGGACCACGGGGCCTTTCGGGGGCTAAGCCAAGTCCGGCTCTCAAGGCTGCTTCTGGTTTTCGGACAAAAAGTGTGAATCTGACATTCTTCCCACAGTCACAGAATGGGACCCCATTTACTTTTTTTTTTTTTTAGTTGGAGTCTCACTCTGTCGCCCAGGCTGGAGTCCAGTGGCACGCTCACGGCCACCCGAGAGTCGGCCTGCTGGGCTCCGGCGATCCTTCCGCCTCAGCCTTCCAAATAGCCACGCCCAGCTAATTTTTTATTTGTTATGGAGATGAGGTCTCGCCAAGTTGCCCGGGCTGGTCTGGAACCCGCGGGCGCCGGCAATTCACTCGCCTCGGCCTCCCAAAGTGCTGGGATTACAGACTGAGCCACTAAACCCGGCTGATGTACTTTTTAAAAGAGCAAGAAAACGCGCACGCAAAAGGCTCCGTGTTCCCTCGCGAGATGTGCGGGGGCCTCCCTCCCTTCTTCAGACTGGGGGAGAGGAGGCGCCCAAGCCACCGGGATGGGGCGGCGGGAACTGCCAGTTCCAGGAGAGTCGCGGGGACCCTGAGATCCGCTGAGGGCTCTGCTGACGGGGGCGCACATGGCTCTGCCCCCAACACGCCGGCACGGCGGACTCAGCGCTTAGCTTCGGGTCCTCAAGTCTCCAGTCCAACACAGGAAGGAGGCCCAGTCACTTCCGTCGCCCTGACGATCCCACTTCCGTCATCAAAACGCCACTTCCGGAGTCTCGGGACCCCACCCCCCCCCCCCGCCGCCATTTACGCACGCCTAGAGAGGCCCGCCCCCTGGCTGTTCCGGAAACGACGCGCTGTTCGGGCCACGCCTGCGCTTGGGGGCACCACCCCCTTGGGGTTGTGGGAAATGTAGTTTTCCTTTTTTCCTTGCGCTCTCCCCCCACCACCGTCGACATGTAGTTTTCGTGCCTCTGCAAGGGACAAGGAGTAGCTGAAGAGGATCGTGCGAGGGCTGGGATGGAGACGACTGTTCCCCTAACCGGAAGCCATCTCCGACGGGGATTCGGGCGCCGGGAAGACGTCAGGGGGCACTGGGTGTAGGAACCGCGGGTTGGCTGCCGGCGGCAGGGCCCGCTTTGGGGACGGACCGGAAGTTTCTGAGCGCGCTGGCAGAATGGTCAGTTTGAGCCGCCGGGGTCCGGACCGGGGAGGGTCGGCGGGAAGCCTGGAGGCGCGGGCGGCTGCGGCGGGCCGACCCGGGGATGGCCGAGTGGGTCCGGCAGCCAGGCAGCGCGAGCCGACGGTCGAGGGGTCGAGGGTCGGGCCCCTCGAGCGCCGACGCCTCCCGGTTGTGGCCCGGGGGCCTCGAGTGACGAGGCCTGGGAAGGCGAGGGACCCGCCGCGGTCACGCTTGGCTGCGAGCCAGCGCGTCGTTCTGGGAGGGAACCGTTCGGCTTGGGCGGGGCGGCCGAGGGTGGCGGGTCGGGCGTCGCGCAGGACCCCAGGTCCCAGGCCCGGCCGGCCAGCTCCCGCGGCCTGAACGGGCACCTGCGTTCTAGCTCTCTTGACCACCTGGCCGCCGCTCGCAGAACATGTTCCTGCTGCGCCCGACTTCTCAGCTGTTCAGGGCTGTGCCCTGGGCAGGTAGGAGGCCCCGTGGGGCGGGTGGGAGGAATCGCACCTGGATAGCAGGGTGGGACTCCGCAACCCAGCTGGAGGCGGTTCCCTGGCCCACACTTTCCCCTGTACGCTTTCAAGCATCACCAAGGGCAAGTCTGGACCTTAGCAAGTCAGTGGATGTTCAGACACGAGTTGCAGCAGACCCCCATTTGGGATGAACGGCTGAGCACCCTAGGGGTGGTCTTGGCGCTGGTCCTGTGGTCTCGTGAGTAGTAACTGTTTTCTGCAGGCTGCATCCGGCCCTGGCCTGTCCCAGGGGCGCTGGGCAGCAGCGCCTGCAGGCCCCAGTACTGCACGCAGCCGACAGGCCCAAGGAGGGCTGCCTCCCTCCCCAGCAAAGGGTCCCAGCTGGAGCTTGAAATGCTGGTACCCGGGAAGATGTCCATCAGCCCCCTGGAGAGCTGGCTTACCGCCCGCTGCCTCTCGCCCAGACTGGATGCTGGGGCCCCAAGGATTGTGGCGCCAGTCCAGTTCTACAAGTGTCCGCCTAGCCCTAGCCGGGTGGAGGAAGGCACCAAGCAGGGGGATGCACCTTCGATGCAGTGCAAAAATGTGCTGAAGATCCGCCGGCGGAAGATGAACCACCACAAGTACCGGAAGCTAGTCAAGAGGACACGATTCCTGCGGCGGAAGGTCCGCGAAGGACGACTGAAACGGAAGCAGGTGGGTGAGCCTGCTCCTCAGGCCTGGTGGGAGGGAGGGGGCAGTGTGCTGAGAACACGTGGCCTTGCTGGCCATTTATTGGTGGTCTCTCCTGCCCTTGCAGATGAAGTTCGAGGCAGACCTGAGGCGTATCTGGCTGCGGGCGGGCCTGAAGGATGCCCCCGAAGGCTGGCAGACTCCCAAGATCTACCTGAAGGGCAAATGAGTCTGGTGTGCCCCTCTCCGTCCCCACTGCCACCAGTGGCCTGTTGTAATAAACGACTCAACTGGTCCAGGCGGCCTGGAGCCTGCTGTGCCTGACATGCGCCACTGGGGATGAGGCTGCAGCCCAGGGCACCACTGGGGTTGAAGGAGCCCAGGGCGGCAGGTGGCAGATTGGCTGTTCCTTTTTCTTTTTTTTCTTTTTTTTTTTGAGTTGGAGTCTCACTCGGTTGCCCAGACTGGAGTGCAGCGGCCGCTCCCGGCCACCGCAGCCTTGCCTGCTGGGCTTCGGCGATCATTCCGTCTCAGCCTTCCGAGTAGCCGGAATTACAGGTATGCGCTACCACGCCTGGCTGATTTTTTGATTTATTGTAGAGATGAGGTCTCGCTGCCCGGGCGGGTCTCGAACCCGCGGGCTCAGGCAATCCACTCACCTCAGCCTCCCAAAGGTGCGGGATTGCAGGCTGAGCCACCGAGCCCGGCAAGGGATATTGATTTTTTAATGGGCTACTTGTGACAGAGATTTTTGAAGGTGAAAGGGTCTTAGCTGGTGGACAAGAACTAGGATTTTTCAGAAACCTGGGATATACAGGTGAGTGAGTTTGTGGGTATCTTTGGAATCATTAAAAATGATATAGAAGTGGTCTTTAGTAGATCTTTTAATGAATATACTGTAATCAGTTGATTGAAAATACCAGTTAACCTAGTTTATAACTTAGACTTGTAGGAAGAAGGAGGGATTAGAATAAAGGATTCTTCTGGAATCTGGCTCCAGACTTGGAATCTGAGGAATTGGATCTGGTATTGCCAGTTGCCTGTTGTTTGAACACAGGCAATTGGTTTCACACCTTGGGTCAGGAATTTAAAGGAAGTGGACGAGAGTATAGGTATTTTCCAGGATTGTACATTCCAGCGTTCAAGCAGTGGGCAGTTAGCAGTTCATTCTTTCAGCAAGGATCACTGAGCACCTACTATGTGCCCAGCCCTCTTGTGGGTGCCACAGGTGTATCAGTGGACCAGATGAGCCACGGTCCTTGCACTATGGTTTCTTTTTATTTTAGTGGAAAGAGACTGAGGAAGCACAAGATAAGCAAGATATAGGCTGAGCCTCCCTAATCTGAAAATCTGAAATAAAAAAATGCTCCCAACCTAAAACTTTTAAAATGCCAACATGACACCACAAATGGAAAATTTCACACGTGCTCTGTTTCATGCACGAAGTTATTTAAAATATTGTATAAAATTAACTTCAGGCTATGTGTGTAAGGTATATGTAAGCATAACTAAATTTTGTGCTTAGACTTGGGTTCCACCCTCAAGATATCTCATTATATATATGCAAATATTCCAAAATCTGAAGTCTGAAACACAGGGATACGCAACCTGTAGTTTATCAGCTTCAAAATCTTGATCTTTCTTTGTTCTCATATCCCACATCCAAGTGGTCAGAGAATCCTGGTATTGGCTCAGCTTTCAAAATACCTCTAGAATTCAACCACTTCTCACCACCTTCACTGCTACTTCCACTGGCCCCAGCAACCTCGTTTCTTGCTTGGATTACCACAGTGTTCTTCTGAGTTTCTTTGCTTTCTTTTTTTTTTTCATCAATATTTTTTATTATGATATTGTGGGGTACAGTTAAGGGTTAGGTATACAAATATGTTGATAAGGCACCCTGTTGATAAGAGGTGTTTCCCTGTCCCCAGACAGATGTTTGCTACCATTAATCCCATCTCCCCCCACATAGTTTCCCACTACTATCAGTCATTTTCTTATAGTATTACACTGGATGTTCAAGGTCCATTATATGAGTGAGAAC